CGGTCCCTGATGCTTTTGCTAAGCTTGTTCTAAGTAGGTGCTTTAGACCACTGAGCCATCTCTCCAGCCCCTGGAATAATTTTAGATTTACAGAAAAGTTACAACAGCACACTCCACACCCAGGGTCTCCCCCAAGAGCCTTATTTTGGTCTGCATATCCTGGTAGTAGAGCGCGCTTTCCTGACTGGTCACCCGATACCGACGCGCTGTTATTGGTTGGTCTTTATTTTACTCCTGTCGTCTGTATCGTTTTTTGACTGGAGGACCGCTCCAGCTCACTGCAGCAACCAGGTGTTACTGTCTTTGGGCGCCTCCTGTTGTGACGGTTCCTATGCCAGCCCGTTGTACGGCAGGACTGTCTGCCTGCTGACATTAAAGTGACCGATGAAAGGAGGGGGAACCCTCAGGCGTTACTTGTTCTCAGACGGAGGCCTCTAACGTGGGTTTGTCTGTTTAAACTGCTCCCGCACTCCTCTCACGCCTAGACTGCAGTTCCGCGTCCTTCCGCCCAGGAGAGGGCCCAGCGCAAGGCCGGCTGCGGCCCCAGCAGCTGCGGTGGCGGAGCGCGCGTCCGCCCGTTTCCTGTCTGCGTCTCCTTCCACTTGCTGCCCCTCTGTGTTCGGTATTCTGGACCTGAGTCAGTATCCTGAGCCCGAGGAGTGAGGGTTTGTGTTCCATCTCCTAGAGGGAGGAAAGGCTACTTGAATTATTTCGGCTTCCTCATGTAGCATTTGTTTGTTTCCTACTCATTTATTTATCCAATAATTTGCTAGTATCAGTGTGAAGTAGATTTATTTTCTACTTTGTGCTATAATTCAGTGTTCCTTTTGACCTTGAGGCGCTCTCACGATGGCTTTTGTATCATCCCTGTCATTGACTCCGAGCACAGTTTTAAAAATTCAGTGTTTAGGGCCAGGCAGAGTGCTCAGCGGATTAAAGCGCCTGCTTAGACAGACGCAGGGACTAGGGTTTGATCCCCGGCGTGCGGGACCGGTCCTGCTGAGACCGCAACTGAGACTGGGCGTGGTGGCGCACGCCTGTAATCCCAGTTTGGGAGGCTGAAAACAGGAGAATCACTACGAATCTGATCTGTGTAGTGGTGAGACCCTATAGACCCTATACTAAATACAAAGATAAATCAATGAATAAAGAATAAAAAATTAAAAAAATCAGTTTTTTATTTAAAAAATTTGAAAAGAAATACAAAATTCATTTTTTTTTTTTGAATTTTCTCATTTCTAGGAACTGCAAGATGTTACAGACTCGTTCTGCATGTACTTATTCTCTGGCCCAGGGTCACCCGATTTTCAGAGGAGCCTTGCTTTGACTGAAGGATGCTATTAGAAAATAAAGTCTGGTCCCGAGTTGGCATTGGTTCTTGGCCTTTGCATGTGTGTGTGCACGCGCACATGTGTGTGCACATACTAACTCACCTGTATGTGCACGTTTACAGCATACGTTTCTGTGCCTCATTCACTCATGTCCACATTAAGATGAGTTCGTACGGGTGCCCTCAGCTCCCGCCTGCTACCCCAGGCCTGGCTTTCTCCTTTTCTTTGACTCCAGTCTCTACTCCAACAGCGGGAAGCCACACTCTGCTCCCCAGCGCTTGTCCACCCGAGTGCTGGCTCCAGCCTCCAGGTCTCTTATCCCCAGCATAGCTCACGCGGTTTCACAAAGGAGGTTCTGCCAAACTTCCATGGCAGAGCTGATTTTTCTTGTGCTTATTCCAGAAAATTGAAAGAGCAGATGCCGTCCACGCATTACATGAGCCTAGTGTACTGTTGATTGGAAAGCCATACATGGTTAATGAGAGAAAAGAAACTTTTAACAACTTTTATGAAGATAGTTGCAAAACTTTTAATAGAATATGAGCTAGTCATATTTAGTACCGTATTTAAAAATCAGCATACTGATATTAAGTGACACATGCTAAAAAAAAGGCTCAACACAAGGAATCTATGGTTATAATTTATAATTAATTGAACTAATGAAGAAAACTCTTAGGCTTGGTTCAATTTCTGCACAGCGAATCATTAGCAAAGGTTCTCACCTAACTATTAAAGCCTTTTATCTATTATGAAAAATTTTAGCAAATGAGGATGAAGAGGGAACTTGTTTCCTTGAGAAAGATCTAATATGAAACATGATTTTCCCCTAAATGTTAAATTTACTGAGGCAAACTTGTACACGTTTATTTTGGTGCCAAGACCTTAAATATTTGAAGTATGACTATTAAAAAGGAAAATATAATTATAATGTGGAGATTACAGTCAACTGCCTAGAAAAATCAACTATATAAATCCATTTTTGTGACTGTAATGAAACATTTGAGGCATCAGATCTGGCGGTGACCTTGCAGGCAGAGCCCTGGGGCAATGAAGGTCATCTGTATGAAGGGACAGGGAGAGTGTGTGTCTGCATACTCCGACCCTTCTCTTCTATATAGGAACTAGTACTCAGCTGTGGCAGTTCCGCCCTGATGCCTTTAGCTAATTCTAATCACTTCCCACAGACCCCACCCCAAATGCCATCAGAACAGTGAGTTTCTACCCTTTTGATACTTCATAATGACAATTAAACTCCAATGTGTGGCTCATAGGGAATATACTGAAGCCATACCTAAAACACAGTTGCAACTGAAATAAAGAACTATTAGAATTAAGAAAAGAGGTCAGAAAGGTCGACAAATACAAAACCAAACCCTAAAAATCAGTAGCATTTTTTTCACCGGCAATGACTGCTCTTAAGACAGACACTATAAACTGCTTGGGAATTGGTCTAATTAAAAATATGCAAGATTTCCATGAAGCAAATAGTAAAACACTGCTGAACTTCAAACACAAAAGAGACTTGGAGTAAGTGGCTATGAGAAAATTAGTTAATATTACAAAGATATCACTTTCCTAAAATGATCATCTAATTTAGTGAAATCTCAACTGATATTTGAGAGATTTTTCAACCATAGTAAAATATTCTACAATGTGTTTGAAAGAGCAAAATTCATAAATTGATAAACTGATCTTTTAAAAATAAGAACTTAGGTGGAATCTCAAGAAATACTTTCTGGATATGATGCAGTAACATGCCAAGAATTTATTGCCTTGCCTAAAAAAAACCAAAAAAATATGTGAGACAACACTTCCAATACATTTCACTCTCGATGACGAAGGATTCTACTCTCGGTCTCTAAGTAGAAAAACCCCCAGACATAACAAGCCTTAATGTTGCCTTAGCTTATTGTTTTGTTAGGCTTTTGACAGTGAATTAGAAATAAACTGAAAGATATCTGGAAACTTTATAAATATTAGGAAACTAGAAGACTCATTGTTAAATAATTTCCAGTCAAAAAACAAAGCAAAAGAAGAGTGAATGGACTTCTAAATAAGTAGAAATAACAAGTGAAACGTGAGGCTACGCACTAATGCAGTTCTGCAGAAGGAAGTCAGCAGTGCTGTGAACTCCGTGTTAAAGAAGACAGATCATAAGCCAGCAGCCTCAGCTTCTACCTTAAAATTTTAAAAAAGTTTTTTTTATTAAATCCAAGACTGAATTTTTCCTTTGAGAATGTACAAACTTTTTGTAAAATTCATGTGGGAATGAATGAAATAAAATAGTCAAGTCACTTCAAAGATAAAAGAGATGGGCAATTTACATTACTACCTATTTCTAGACTTATCATTATAGTTCTAATTATGAAAATAGTGTGAATTCAGTATAAAGAAAACTAGGTCAGTAAACCTGAATAGACTCTAGAAATAGAGCATTTATGAATTTGTCTAAAAGTTGCTAACTTGTACTTCATCAAAATTAAGGTTATTGCTACTTCAAAGATGCCATCAAGTGTCTGAAAGCAGGTCGTGATGGAGGGAGAACATTTGTAAGCCACTCTTGTGGGAGAGATTTGCACCCTGAGTAGATAGAGGATGAGCTCCCCAAATCCACAGCAAGAAAACACAGACATCATTGGAAAACAGGTGAAAGAACAGACAGCCCCAGGAGGCAGAGGGGGTAGGTGTCATCTTTCTT